GAACAGTTAACAACTTTGCCCAAACGAATTTTATCGCGTTAGGATATGTTGCATCATTGATATATTTCTGGAATTTGAATTTAAGGAAATAAGACAATACTCCTAGTTCTGATCGAATTCTTTGATCCTTCCTACTTGTCTCTTTTTACAATATCGAGAAGAAACAACTGTAATTTTGTATTTGATCAAAATAGGAAACTAGACAAGAAAAAACAACGATATCATCCGAATAAACCGGTTGATTAAGGAAAATATAGTTTAGAAATTACTCTAATGGTTATTACAGTATCTTACTGTTATCTATTGAATTATAATATAAAAGAATAAATATTAAACTTGTTTAATAATGAATAAATAGATAAATCATAATATAATTCATAATATATTTTATATGTTATATACAGGGTGGTTGGTAACTGGTGGTACAAGCGGAAAGGGGGTGATTCTACGCGAAAAAAGAAGTCGAAAATATAGAATAAAAATTTTTCGTTCGAGGCTTTGTTTTCGAGAAAATCGACTTTGAATTTTCGGTCGGTACGCGTGCACTTTGTCGCGTCTCGTTATAACGGATTGTACTGTAGATCGTTGTCTCGATGGAAAAATTAAAAAAAAAATTTTTTATTCTATATTTTCACCCCCTTTCCGCTTGTACCACCAGTTACCAACCACCCTGTATAACAAATTATAATCTGTTCCAGATATCACGTGATCACATTCACGGTTCATTAAATTTTCTGCATAATCTTCTTTGTTACAAACTAATTTCATAATATTCGCGGGAAATTGCCAATATCCATGCAATTATTCACCACTTTATAGTCGCATTTAATTTATTACTTCATCGATAGTAGTGGTATAGATGATACGTGTCAAGCCTAATTTAACCAGTGCACAATGCAGCAATTGCTTGTAGCAGTACAAAAAGGGAAAATAATTATTACGGTCATTAGGCGTGACATACAATCTTTTTTAAAAAAAAAGAAAAATAAATTTCAATTTGTTTTTTATTTATTTTCAAAATCTTCTCTTATCCTTGTTTAACGCCTACTTATTTAATGTTATGAACTTGAGCGTTAAGGGTTTGGATATTTAAGAAATATCTTTTTATAGATGTAACATCGGTGTTAACTGTCAGAATTCAACAGATATGACTTATGCCAGTATCTGTATAACTGACATCGTACGAGACAACGAGGCAGTTGCGCCTGAAATATGCAACCGTTTGCCGCGCCGCATGACACGTACGTTCCCTCAGACTTTTATTGTATACGCTAAGGAAGGAAACGTAATCTCCCGAATGTCATGATTATACAGCGACTTAGCCATAATTTATTGCGCTGATTATCAGACAAGGGAAACATATATTACATACGTTGGATTTTAAGTTTGCATAAGTGGTCCATTTGTTATATTGCCATAGAATATGGGGAAGCTACATGCATTAAATAAGCTGAACATAGATTGGTAAGCAGAGATCAGAAATAACAATTGGTTTTGAGAACTTTTTTGAAAAAGCTCATTGGCAAGAAGGTAATTTTCGTTTAAACAAAAGACTCGAGTCTTGAAGAAATTCGTTTAACAATTAAATGATTAAACGATATTAATTTTCAAGTAGTCCAGTTACGAATAACCATTATAAATGATGCTCAAGAGGATTTTGCTTATCGATGACTATTATCGACGGGAAAATTCCTTTTTGGTTACCGGTAACCATTGTTCGTGGAGGAATTTTTTTTCACTCACCAAAAACCATTATAAGTGAGAGAATTTTTTTGATTACCGATAACCATTATTCGCGAGAGAATTTTTTTCGTCACCAATAACCTAATAATTAGTATTCGCTACGAAACCTTCTTTTACTCACCAATATCTGTTTCCCGTGACGAATTTTTTTTTACTTATCGATAACCATTGTCTGTGATGAAATTTCCTTTCGATTACCGATAACCATTATCGATAACGGAATCTTTTTTCAGCATTTGTGACGTCCACTTTGGTCATTTACAATACTTATACGTAACCAAAACCAGTTAAACTAATCTGCCAATTCTTATGCTGCAACTTTTTCCGTTTCGGTTACGACGAAAGGTACACGTACCCTGTCGGTAAGGCAATTTATACAGACTCGATCTAAAGTAGAACTTTTGTTAGTGCTTACGCAATAATGTCAGGTTCGCAATAATTTTGCTTTCCTCGATAAATTAGTATAGTTTCTCGGATTTTTTAAAATACTCGTTTCCAATCGGTCTGTTTTCTATACCATGTACAATTGTACCGTAATACTTAACAAAATCAGTAGAAAATGATTACGTGTGAAGTATAGAAGCTAGCGTGGTATAATCTTGCAATTGAAACATTATCTTGCATTAGAAGTACTTACCGTTCTAAACGCAAATATACGAACTATAAATGTAAAACACGCTGTTTATCCATTTTACCACGTGCTTATTAAAATTTCCAATGTTCCTACATACTTACTTGCTTCGTTACGTAGTCACGTGTTTAGTTATATTTACTTTTCCAGCACATAGTGATCGTACATATTATTACAGAAACAGCGGCTATTAAAAGGTATATAAATATATGATAAAACAATGTGCTTCAAGCAAATCAAACAAGGAAGGTGAATAAATAATTTAACATACTTAGAACATGGTACACTTTACAGTTACATGCGACACCATGTTTGCAATTCGTTATCTCAACTAAGAATTACATCGTTCAACAAGTTAAAACTTTCTCTTTCTGATACTTTTCTGAATCGCGTGTCATCGATAATCCTTTTTCAATATTTCTCTGCATAGGAAAAAGCCAGCACTATTTTTCTATCTTTAGCTTGACATCGGTCGATCATTTTCTTATTTCTCCAAAATGTTTTCATTCTCATTCCTCTATTTCAACTAACAAACTAAAACATTGTACAGGTCGACGAGTTTTATCCTTTTATGTAAAAAAGAAAAAAAAAAAGGGAAGAGATTTGTATCGTTTCTAACAACATATGAAAATACGTCAGCCATGTAGCAAGTTTTATCTACGTCTTACGCCACTTTTTCTTTTACAGAAAATCCTCAACTAAGTAGACATGAACCCGAATATTTCACTCGCATTGTTTATATTATGTTAGCCAACGATTCGTTAGAACGTGAATTTCTGATCAGAGTAACATTATACAAACTGAATTTAATAAAAAGCTAGTACGTGCGATTTATAACTTTTGCGATGCTCACTACGATTCAAAAATATTTTACTACGTTTATTTTACTCGTATTTACTGTGCATCGAATAAACGGTATCGGTATTAAATTTTCAATATATTGGCAATTTTTCACGATATTAAAATAATCTTTTGTTAGAAACATATTTTACTTTAATCCAATAGTGTAATAAAAGCATAAAAAAGTCAAGCTATTTATATAGCGTTTCCTCTGCTTGGTCATACATCGTTTTTTTCACTCCTTTATCAACTTCATGCCCGCGATATATCATTTTAAAAGTTACATTTCACCGAGCACTTTAATGCGAATTCATCTTTTGCGAGACTTTAAACGTGCCAGGACATACAAGAAATATTTTCCTCATATTACACCTATTTCTACTATCGCGAAGACGCGCCAAATAAAATTTTGCGAATTACGAATTTGTGAATGTAAAAAAAAAAAGCAGGAATTTACGTTATAACGTAATTTTCCTATTCAATTTTTGTCAGACGACAAATCAGAAGAATGTTGCATGTCACGATCGAATGCATTGCAATCGAGAACTATGAAATGAAGCAATCGGCTCGTTTATAATTTATCAAAATTATTTTTACGATCTGTTTCATTATCGAATTTATTGCTGCTTTGTAAGAGACGATATTAGTATCGATACTTTGCAACTTCGCTAACAATATCAGTTTAATTACACAAAAGAAACGTATCTAAATATTTGCAGTATCAAAAAAAAAAAAAAAAAAAAAATAGAGAGATCCTATGGTTCAAAATAAGACGAAAATGGAGAATAACAAAATCGCTGGCTTCGTTTTCGAGAAAATCACATTACGTGTACGTAATGTACGTAATGTAGAACACGATGATACAGGACTATGTTTATTTTTTGGCGGCAATTACGAAAAGGACAAGAATAGTGAAAAATCCGTGTAACGTATTCGTCGTTTTTATCGGGAATACGACGAATGTACCTCAGGTGCGCGAAAGAAAATTAATATGATAGAATATTAGTTAAAAAAATGGAAGATATTTGCTCACTTGTCCTTTTTCTTTAAATATATATTCATTCTTCTGAATAAAAATAGAGTGTTCTTTTCTAGGTATTTCATATTGGCTACTATCTTTATAGCTCGTCGCATTAGACGTATTTTATTTTGCCTTTCAATTACTTCGACACATTTAAGCTTCTGCATAGTTAACCATTAACGTGTTAATTTCGTTAGAGAAACGTCCGTTTCTCTTTTTGGGCAGCTTTAAAAACTGGGTGTTCCATGTTACACGCAGTTCCCTACCTTTTCGCAGTACATAACGTGGACGCTTCATACACAAGTAGTTTTTTTTTTTATTTAATATTTCACATTCACAATTTGTCCAATTTGGACATTTAGCAGAATTTTTTGGCTGTTTGATTATCATGTGAGTGACTATCCCCAGCGAAGTATTATCTTTGTGTTTGTTAGGTTATGTTCTTTGTGAATACACAAGAAGTTAGCAGTGTAACAATATTTAGAAGTCTGTGTTCAAAACTAGAGAATAAAATAAAAATTCTATAGAATTATGATTCTACTTTTACTTCTAACAATTTGTAAATATACATTAGAATTAAGATAGAATAATTCGTAAATATACGATAGAATAACAATAAAGTAATTAATAGAATAAATAGTTGGTTATCAATATATATGTATACATCGACCGGTGTCCAAGCAATCGTAGAAATTGTATAAACGAAAAGAGAAAGTTTAAACTCTTATTTAGCACAGTCAGTGACACGTTTCAACGGCAATGTACCTGTAAGACCATTGTGCTGACAACAGTACCAGCGACAGGTACGAGATTCAATTCTAGCCATTCTTCGCCTGCTCTTAGACAGCCTCTCTCGTATATACTCCTCTCCCCAGTCTGCATTTACCAAGTGCAAACAAAATGATTGAAGAAACCACTATGAAAGTTTCTGCATCGAAGATTTAGGATTACGTTGTCGTGCCTGCGGCATGTTGATAACGCGTACAAACAACGATACCTTGCTTCTACATACGAATAGTACGTCGACCACTGTGCAGTCATCGAATTTCGGAATTCGAACATTGGAATTACGCGCAGTTGTTTAATTCTCTATCTTCTGGTTTTATATTGCGTTCGTTAGACTACGTTCAATTTTTTTAATTATACGCAATGGTCCGTAATTGATGGTAGAATTTGGTACGAGGCGATTCTACGAGAAAAAATACGACAAAAATGTAGAATACAATTTTTCTGTACGACGGTCCGTTTCCGAGAAGATCGAGTTTGAAAATGTGACTAATTACGTACTGAACAGGAATAAATAATCGACAGGTTAAGTGAGAATAAGTAAAAAATGTAGAACCTGATCAATTTTCAAATTCCATCTTCTCAGAAACAAAGCGCAATATGAAAATATTTAAGTGCATATTTTCGACTTACTCTCTCACGTACGATCATCCTGTACCCAATTGTACTATTATTTACGAACCACCTTGTATAAGGATTGCAGTTTCGAATGGCGTCGGTGACCGATCGAGAGAAAAGCGTGAAACATGAAATCTTTATTTTGGCAATTTGTGCGTGGTAATTACGTAGAATAGGCGAGGCACTTTACCGACTTCGACGGTGTTGAAATATTATCGACGTTCGGACTATTTTTTCCCATACGTACCTATATTCTGCTCAAATTTAATTTCCGAGATATTCGTTAAAAATTTCAATTAAATCCAGATTACATTTCATTCTAGAGTAAGCCGCATTTTTTTACAGCCAATTTAATATTGTACAAATAAAGAAAAATCAATAGGTCATAGGTCATAGGTTGGGCTAAATTAATATCCGACCGCCATTAAGCGGCTGCCAACGCTTGCGTAAAATGATTTTCGATGAATCGATTGATGTACAGAATGTTGCACTTCGCTCTGATCTTCGACAGCTCGTAAATGTAACAAATATAGTTACCGTCACTGATAATTTTTGTTCGGTAAACATTTATTCAAAGTAAATTGTTAAATAACACGTCAAATATTAATCATACATTGTTTTATAACCTGAAAATTAAAGACGAGCGATGGTTGAATATATGGGAAAAGATATTCAAAATATCGATAAATATTTGACGATATATTCCAAGATTATCAAAATCGATGAAATGTCTTCTATTTTACACAAGTGCCTTGTGCGTTCGAAAGATCTAGAAAGGCTTCGTGAGGTTATTTCCTATTTTCTACGATAAAAGATTTTGGATAGATCTGATTTCCAAACGCAATTTCGAAAATTTCGATTTCTAAATTTGTCGATGGCATCGAACACTTGCCACGAACGTGACTCAACTTGAGAAAGTATGTTATACAGAAGAATAGGAAAGCTATTTTAGAATATAATTAAATCAAATTTATGAATAGAACGAATGAACAAATTCATGAAATGTATTTTAAATGTGTTTTATTCGTTTTTAGTTTATTTTTCATTTTTGACAGGAACTTTTGGAGGATCTCTTTCTAGTCAAAACACAACTTACAATAAGACGTACACATTTATAATTTATAAAATACAGTAACACGAATCGAGAAGGGCGAAATAACTGCTCTCTACTGGCCAAATTATGAAGCTAAATGAACAAGATGAATTGAACATCTCATAATCGCCAGATTTTCATACTGATAATTCGAAAATCGCGTTATTTGAATCGCTTCACTTTCGTCGCAAGTGTGTGATATACCAAGATCAATAGTATGTCCTATCTAGCTGTCAAAACGCTCAAATATCTGGGAAAATACGAGTAGTATGAAAAATGGTTCAGACAAAATTTGTATACTTTCGAACGTATCGATTGCCGAAACTGAAATTTCATATTTTGAATTCGCTCTTCTCCAAAAATATCTAAAAAATGTACTTCGATTGGTAACCAATGGCAGAACTAAAGAAAATTTAAATTTCAATCGTATGCTAAATATGAAGTATAAATAAATATGCAGCAACTAAAAAGTACAATTTCAAACTATATGACAAATTTATTCTTTGAAGCTAGCTATTATAATGAAATTAAGAACCCTAGGAATTTAACAAAACATTTCATGCCTATGTATCTTACGTAGTTATTACGAAGTTAGAAAGACTTAAAAAGTTGAAGGACCTCTAAAAAGATGTTAGATAGTATAAGATTCGAAACAGAAGATAAGACACTTGAAAATAAATCGCGAGAGCCTCGTCTGTGATTTCGTTATCTTTGATAAAAAAGGACATCTGCTTTATCGAGGATTGATAATCTTGCAAACCACTCAGAATTTATTTTCACAGTTCAGTAAATAGCAAACAAACAATTTATAGAATATCTATTTATGCAAAATGGAAAGGGTAAATTATTTAGCATTGATTTATGAAACGGTCGGTATACAAATTAACTAACAAATTCGACGACACAGCGCAGGGACGAGCGAAATAAAAACCACATAGGACAAATGCTTTCCAGCTTTGCTTGAGAACTTCAATGTGTTCTGTATGTTTTTTCAAATTTTTGAATTTTTACGTTTATTATCCCAAAATGTAGCTATTTCAAAAGATTAATAAAAAAAAGTAACATAAAAGTTGTGAAACTTTGTCTTAGTTTCAAGATTGTTTTATCTCCACTGTCATATTTTATTACAAAACTTCCTTCTTTAATACCGAAGCTTATCTTGTAACTAGACATGGCAGCTACATTTAAAGATTAAAATTAAACTGTCAGCACTCGAGACAAATGAGAATCAGCAAACGAAAGCGTAAAAACTAGTGTAGTGTTCTGTCCATATTTTAACGAGTATAATAGCTCGTTCAAGCCTATTAGTTAGTTAGTGTAAAATATATGAAAGGCACTGATTAAGAAAAAGCAGAAATGAGAAGTTATTTTAAATGCTCGCAGAAAGAATGTAAGTAATGGTCACGGTAAATAAAGTGATGGTGAAAAACATGGTTTTAGAATAGATGAATGCAGTAATATAGAGTACAATTAATGGAAATATAATTTTTAAGAGAAGAAACCTTGCAAACACGACAAGTAGAAGTTTTCTTTGGGGGGCGGGGGTCGAATGAAACAGCTAACTCTTATAAATAAAAGTCAGTTACTGAGCTTTTAATTTTTCAATAACTCTTTTTCTGTTTTACGTTTACTTTATACGTTAGTACTTTGATTCTGCTGCAAAAGTTCCCTTATAACAGCCATTTTGTATGGCAAAAGTTGTGTAAGATTATATACATACCCTTTTGACAAATATTTTAGAGGAAAGTATGAAAGCTAGAATTATGTTTTAATTAGCATTATTTAAAAAGTTGAAAGCAGAATGAGTATAAGAGAGAAAGTAAGTTGTGATTTTTATAAATACAGTTATTTCATTTTACAAACAATAAGATTGAACAAAACAATATGCAGTTAATTATTTATATATATATATATGCTCAGAGTTCAGAGTTTCATTTTAAAAAGAATATTTTGTATTTTCTAAATCGCTTTGAGCGGTTAAGCAGTTTGAGCACTGAAGAGCAGTTTGAAAACATTCAACTTTAACTGTTTCAAAGCAAAATAAATGTCTCGCTTGAACTAAAACTCTCTTGTGCTTCTACAGAACTAAAAGTTTCCTATTTATGCAAAAATGTATGGGATGAAAGTTTCAGTAGATGCACTTCGTTTTACAACTGTTTTTTCAAAACACGACAGTTAAAAAATTACTGTTATTTCATGTCTACTTGGACATTTGGACAGTTTCATTCGATCCCTGCTTTCGTTATAATAATACAACGTTTAGTGTTAAAGGTAATATTGAATTTGAAAAAATTACTTACGTAGCTAGGTTTTCTAACATCATAGCCGCACTGTTTATTTTTTATAATTTCCTGAAAACATCGAAGGAATGATTAGGAGACAATATTCTGAGATATAAACTTACTAATAACATTTTTATTTCAAATACAGTGAAATCTTGTACTTGTTTATACAGGGTGGTTGGTAGCTGGTGGTACAAGCGGAAAGGGGATGATTCTACGCGAAAAAAGAAGTCGAAAATGTAGAATAAAAATTTTTCGTTCGAGGCTTTGTTTTCGAGAAAATCGACTTTGAATTTTCGGTCGGTACGCGTGCGGTACATTATAACGGATCTCACTGTAGATCGTTGTCTCGATGGAAAAATTTAAAAAAAAAAAGAAAAAAAGATGGAGAAAAATGTCCATGGTTCTATGGCTACGGTTTCTTCAGATTATTTCCTAAATTGAATACGATAATATAATACAGGGTGGTTGGTAATTGGTGGTACAAGCGAAAAGGGGATGATTCTACGCGAAAAAAGATAGAATAACAATTTTTCGTTCGAGGCTTTGTTTTCGAGAAAATCCACTTTGAATTTTCGCTCGGTACACGTGCTGTACGTTATAACGGATCTCACTGTAGATCGCTGTCTCGATGGAAATATTAAAAAAAAATAATTAAACAAAAATTTTTTGTTCTATATTTTCGACTTCTTTTTTTTGCGTAGAATTACCCCCTTTCCGCTTGTACCTCCAGTTACCAACCACCCTGTATATCCTCATTGTTCGGCAATATTGTAGAAGAATCATCACTGCAGTTAGCATGCAATTAATTCTTTATTTAACAAAGGTAAGAAATTCTTTTATTGCAAGTGAAGAAAAAATATACTAACGTGAGATAAAAAAAAAACTTACATTTGGCTTTCGTTTACAACAGCTAAAAGGCACGCCGCATGCTTCCCTCGAGCCAATGTCGCTCGACGAACAATTGAAATAATTATTGCGATCCCAGTCTTTAGGGCCCTCGATGCCGCAACACTGTAACTGTAAAATACGGTTGCGTTAATTGAATTACACTGTAATTTAATTACGCAATTTAATAACACTCTATTTCGATTACATATTAATTCAATTACGTTCAATTGTGTTGTAATCCAATTACATAATTTCAATTACGTAATTGAATTGTTTAATAGAATTACAAAATTGAAATTAACGCAATTGAATTACATAATTTCAACTGCCGTAATCGAATTATATAATTTGAATTACGCAATTGATTTACAAAATTTGATCGTTATTCGTTGTATTTGCAAAATGTTACTAGTTCTAACTTTATAATTACGACAACGTTATGCTGAAACATTTTCTCTTAAACGAACATTAATCAATTCAATTAAATCAAATAAATCCGATCAACACGTGTTGCTTTCGTTTTTTAGCAACTACGTGCCACCAATTTCATGTTCTTTAATTTGTTATGTAGTTCGACAAGTATGTGCAGCGTATCGGTATTTAACATGTTGCTTCGTGTAACAGTACTTTAGTGTCTAGCATTGAATAATACAAAGATGAAAGAAATAGGAATCTCGCCATTAAAAATAAAGTCAGTATTAAGGAAGGGAAAGAACAAAAGTGGAAGACACAGTATCAATTTGCTTAGTAGAAAGAAAGAGAGAGAGAGAGAGAGGGAGAGAGAGAGAGAACGTGTGAAACTGCTGTTCAAAGAGCTTCGTTAAACTTAAATGCACGTTCTTTCTTCACGCTCAGTGAATTCAATAATTTTCTTCGTATCATTTCGTGAAACTGTGAAACAAAGCGGTGTTTATATCAAAGAATGCTTTATAAAAACTGCACTGTGATCGAAATCATGATTTTTATAAAGTATAATAGCGTAGAAAAGTATTTTAATTAAATAAAGATTGAAGATTCGTTTTAATTAACGTCATAAATATGAGAAATATTGAATCAGTAATTTCGTCTTAATTAGTCAATTAATTAACACATGATTCCCTAACATGTATGATAATTTAATTTGGAATAATTAATTAATTAATTGTAATAATATTATTACTGAAACTCTTCATTAATATTAATACAATTATCAGTATTATATTAAAGAGACTTATTATTTTATTAATGATTCTATTTTAATGAAATTACATTTAGAACGTCAGAAGTATCGAAATAATATATTATACTATTTCAAAAGTTTTCGTCCTTCTTGCAATCGTTACGAAATATACATTTCACTTGAATAATAAAACTCTGCTGCATACTTTTATGCATATTATACCATTGTATATATTATTGTATATATTATACTAAATGTCTTAAAATTGAGACACGACTATCGTGAGTTCGTAATTAATTTAGTAAAATTTCAAACGAATTTGAAAATATACAGGTTGGTCGGTAACTGATGGTACAAGCGGAAAGGGGATGATTCTATGCGAAAAAAGAAGTCGAAAATATAGAATAAAAATTTTTCGTTCGAGGCTTTGTTTTCGAGAAAATCGACTTTGAATTTTGGCTCGGTACGCGTGCACTGTATCGCGTCTCGTTATAATGGATCTCACTATAGATCGTTGTCTCGATGGAAAAATTAAAAAAAAAAAATTTTTTTTCTATAATGTCGACCTCTTTTTTCGAGTAGAATCACCCCCTTTCCGCTTGTACCACCAGTTATCAACCACCCTGTATATACAAGTTGCAAGTTATTTATTAGAAGTGCACATTTCGCAGTGCTGAAACTTTAAGTTGGGTTGTCTCCAGGAACTGCTTCGTGATGTTCTTCGCGTACAACTTGCTATTTTCTATTTAATTGTAAGTCGCGTAAGCTACGGAACACTATCGACGAATAAATACCTTATATTCGATCTCGTCTTCTCTTAACCGACACTCAATACAATATCGTGTCAGAACCATAGGCTTGTTCTACTTGTGCGAGACACCCTGTATTGTAGCTTTTAAGGAACGTTAAGACGATCGATATTATTGTCAATATTTCAAGCTTCTCAACATCGTGGTATGTAAGAGACCGTCTAATGTAGACAATCGATATACAGGGTGGTTGGTAACTGGTGATAGAAGCGGAAAGGGGGTGATTCTACGCGAAAAAGAAGTCGAAAATATAGAATAAAATTTTTTTTTAATTTTTCCATCGAGACAACAATCTACAGTGAGATCCGTTATAACGAGACGCGATAAAGTGCACGCGTACCGACCGAAAATTCAAAGTCGATTTTCTCGAAAACAAAGCCTCGAATGAAAAATTGTTATTCTATATTTTCGACTTCTTTTTTCGCGTAGAATCACCCCCTTTCCGCTTGTACCACCAGTTACCAACCACCCTGTATTATTGTAATCGATCGTCTGAAGATGCCTGTAATGTCGAGATACTCGAAACAGTGACAGTAATATTGATCGTCTTAACGCACCTTTACATGCTATAATACCGAAGTACTATGTAGGCATTTCATTAGATGAACGGAAATGCATCGAGAACAGCGATATGACGGTCTCTCATGGATAGGAATTGAACTAACGTAAAGAATAGAGGATTGGAATAGTAGTATAACTATTGACAGGATCTGCGAAACTGAAGCGACATAGCAACGTTTCTATTGAAGTGTCACATTGCTTGTCAAAACGTGAATCGATAAATTCTATCAATTAAATTAACTAATTAATACAGTTATTTAATCAACTTTAGTTAACTAATTAATCAACACAATTAATCGTTGCATATGTACCGGTTATAAAGACAGTAAATTGTATTAATCTAAATATTAATGAATTAATTGTACCGATTAATTGTATCGATAGATCTGTATTAATAAATGAAATTAGTTCACTGATTGTTACATTAATAGAATTTATACGCTGTTTTTAATGTAATAGAAAACGTATTCCCTTATCTAATTGGACAAATAACGATATGACACGTACCCAATCCTCTTGAATCCAATCGATGAGATTCTGCTGATCAGGATCTTCTCTATAGTGGATGATGAACGCTTGGAAACCGCCAGTGGCTTGTGATTTTATCTGTACACCGAATCAACGTATTAATTCTATGTTTTGCGATAAATTACGATCGATAAAATGAATCCGAACATGATATGAACGGTATGTTGAGTCTTTGGTTAATTTGTAGCATATCAACATTTTCAGGAGAATTAAACCTTTTTATCCTTCTAATTACTGACTTACGTGAACAATCATTTGTGCATTCCTTTGTGAGAATAGAAATTTCGTACGAACTATCGAATACGATGAAATTAACATTGGAACGGCGAGTACATGAACTCAAAACTCAAACTTTGCGTGTTATGTGCTTAGTACGTTCTGTAGTACCAAAACGAAACTTATTTTTAGAGAGTCATTTCAATTGTTAGCAACGCCAAAAAATGTTAATAGTGTCTTAATAATTAAAATATTGAGCTTTTGTTAACTCTTTTAATTTGTATGAATATAAAGCGCCACATACTTCCGCTATAAATATAATCTATATCACGAATAATAAATAATGAATAATTAATAGTAAGTGGCAAATAATAAATAATAATCTACACCGTAAATTAAACATGCAAATATTGATGAAACGCCACAATTAGGAAAAGCTGTTATTAATTGCACACGTTGTTTTTTGAGCTATATATAGGTATAATATCGAGTTATATTTTTTGTTTATTAAAGATAATTCACAGAGATTGAAACAACATTATAAAAAAGGCATATCAAACGAAGATTCTTTTATCATATATTTCAAACAAACTTTTAAATTTGCATATTATTTTTCCCAATGGAACTAACGTACTGCAGTTATTGTAGATATCCAGAAAGAATGGTAAAAATAAATCTTTCACAGAGGGGAAGCAATATTTAAAGTACATAAAATTTATTTCCTTTTTATCGTCCATAACTCTGACTGTAAATTACGTTTACGCGTATTCCATGTAACATAGATATGCGGATATTTACTTATTGACTTATTCCACTGGAAATCATCAAGTAGCGAAGTGAGATTTTAAAGTTTTACGATATAAAGTCATCGTTAAGTTAAATTACTTGTTTCGACGTATAGTTAAAAACAGTTCGAATACAATACAGTGTTTCGAATTCATTTTACGGTCCGTACAACAAACAGAATTCCAAGATTCGCGTAAACCTGTTTAGACAAAAACCTAGATGAAAATGTCAGACTTAAGTATAATATATACGACATTTTCGTCTTATTCTTGGTTACAAAATACATTGGTAAAGTTACTACAAAAGTTTATGCGACAGTTTATATAATAAATGAGTCGCGCCAAGAATATATAGGAAACTATTCATCATCCTACATCAAATGATATTAATATAATTTTATGTACACGAGAAAAATATTTACGAAGCTTTTAGAAATATGAAATTTATCAAGTTCGCTGGCGGAGAAATTTCTTTAATTTAAAGGACGTAGCAACAAATAATTCCCAAATACTTACGAAAGAGAAAAATACTTACGAAGCTTTTATAAATATGAAACTTATCAAGTTCGCTCGCGGGGAAATTTCTTTAATTTAAAGGACATAGCAACAAATAATTCCCAATTATAGTCTTATCGTGTACATCGACACAACGAGAAAAATATTTACGAAGATTTAATAAATATGAAACTTATCAAGTTTGCTCGCGGGGAAATTTCTTTAATTTAAAGGACGTAGCAACAAATAATTCCCAATGATAATCTCATTATGTACATCGACATAAGTAGAGATTATCGCGAGAATATTAATAGATTTTTGATAAAACTCACCCAGTCCTTGAAGACAAATCCTAAGACACCGGCTGCCATCTCCATTAACAATAATAACGCCAGAAATATCGCATACTGGAACAGATTCGTATAAAATAACGTTGTAATAAACTTCAATCTTTCAGAATGTAAAATCATGCATTTGATATCGTAAAACAAGTATAAAAATAATTTTATGGATTATTAGAATCAGTTTTATAATTTTAGTAGAATTATTTATCAAAGAATTTACCTGTGTAAAATCTTTATCGATCTCCCAATTTGAAAATTAGTATAAAATAACAGGTTTCAAAATCTCGAAAAAATTATCAATTATTTGAATTTAAAAAATACGGAGAAAAATACAAAAAACAAAATACAAAAATACAAAAAATACAAAAGTTAATAGCTTAAAATGTTACTTAAACAATTGTTATATAAAGAGAAAAAACATCGTAAGTAAACATCGTCGATTAATAAAATAATGCTAATAATCGTATTAATTATTTAGACTTTAATCTCACCATTCCTCCCAATTGCATTTTAATCCTTTAATTGTTCAATCTGTGTTAAATAATTTAATATTGTTACGTTGACTGTAACTTGAAAGTTCGTTAAGAAATAAAAACGTACGTAAGTTTATATGTGAAATACTTAAAGTACTCATCGTGTAATTACATCGTTCTGCAGCAATTGTGAGGCAAACGCATGATAAAACACGTAAAAAGTGTTGCACGTTATTATACTTCACACGAAATTCTCACTGTTACGCATTTTGTTACAGCTGAATAATGTAACGAAGTAACATTTACTTGAAATTAAACTCTAAATGCTTTAAATTCAAAAGAAACGCTTCAAAGAATAGTAGCAGTTATCTGAATTAAATGTTTCCTCCAATTATACTTATTAACTGTAAACATAATGCACATTAACTTTATTGACCTTTTCGGTAAAATCATCTATTGTTTATATTTATTTATTTGATTATAATTTATCCGATAGCTGTTACGATATAATCACGACATTATACCTGTACAATCATACGCTGTGCATAATAATATTATAAATCAAATATTTATCATAGCAAAGAAGATAACGTTAATAGCACTGTTATTTGTTTAACCATAGGATATTCTGTATCGCATATCTGATAATTGCAAACCAGTTTTACGTTAGTGTGTATTAAATACAAATAAAGTGAATTACCATTACGAATCAATAAAAAATATGCAACACAATATTTTTGAAATTTCAAGTCGCAAAGTATTTTTAATTTGTAAATTATTGAATTTATATAGTATACATTAACGGATAATATACACTATGTGCAGACAATTTTTAATCACCAAGATACAATGTTGGCATTTATTGTCAACGTCCTTTAATTTTGCGCTTTATGAAAAAACGGGCAACGAGGAAACATTTCCTTTATGAGGAAACTTGAAAGCCGATTCTTTAGTTTCGTGGTAACAAAGAGAGCAACCGAAATGCTCTTTTGACTTTTTAAGAAAACTTTGCCACTTCCCAGAACTCCTAAGATGACAATGAGTACTCTTATATCCTCTCTTGGACGTAGACGACGAACATAATTCCCTACAAGTGTTTATAAGTAATTCATGATTAAAATTAAACCGTTTTTTACATTGAGCAGTAGAAATTTTTGACATAACGATAATCATGATACAGAAATTTGTCCAGCATTCTGTAATTAAAAATAAATTTATGTCCTTTCCCTGTTTTTCCCTGTTATTGGTATTCATTTTTTCACACTGGTTACAATAACGTCATTTACACTAGTCATGGTAATATTATTTGTAGAAATGACATGAATTTTTAATACCAAATGTATTTTTTCTTACATCTTTAGTTAAACGATAACTATCAATTCTTTGTGTAATTACAATTTACATAGCGAAAGCTTATATAGAATTGTAATTATTGTAAATATTACAAACAACCGTGCTTATTAATACGAGAAATATGAAGTAGTAAATTTCGAGGCGAAATTGAACCGCAATCTGAGAAGTAATAATTATTGATAGTTTCGTAGATACCGATTTATTGATTGAACCACTGCACCATTGTTTTATCATTTTACGAATTCTCTTTATTCGAGAGCGCAGGAGACGCAGCTTAGCTTCGATTATCGATATTTTATGAATTATATCAATATTCTATGACTGAAATTGTTTTAAAGGCATTCGAGTTGGAAGGTTTTACCGTAAAATAAAAACACCTATACTGCTGCTCATAAATATGTGGAGACCTGGATTTGACTCTGTCAATGTAGGTCGAGTCGTAAAAATCGCCGGTATAGTTTCGAAAGTTATTAAAACTCTCGCTTCTCTTGATATAAAATTTCCGAAAAATTTCCATGCTTTCCATATCGCGTGTAATTTACCTACAGTGAACGACGTAATATTAGGAATCGACTTGCTACGAACCGAAACGGTCGAGTTGCTCTTCCACCATAACGAACAGTACACCGATTCTGCTGATAGTAGACAATCTAGATTAGATAGTAGCGATCCGATTAGGTCAATAACATTCATGAAATGGGCTAATCACGCACCGCATGATGCAAATCGACGTACACGAGTGTTTACTATACCAACACGTATGCGTAAACAGATACGTCGAAATAGTACACACCAGCTTGCGTATATTCCGCTTCAAATCAGAGATATCCTTGTCCGTAGGAGAAACGTTTTCAAACTAAACTCAAAAAACCGACATGAGGTGTAGGTGTTGACTGTGATACTTGTAGATGTGGTTGCTAAGGGTACTGCTATTTTTTTCTAATTTAGATGCGTGGAAGAAAAATCGGAACTCCGGGATGCCTGGATTCGAACCCGGGTTCCGAACGTTCTTAACCTAAGGCGCTAACCACTGCGCTGCTGTCGTCCGACCCTAATTAGTGTCACGTGGTGGTATTTGCTGTTGAGTGCCGCCACAGACATGTCACGTTTTGGCATAAACGCGCTGGACAAAGACGTAGGAACTGAAGTACTTAGCCAGGAACTGACACCCTCCGCATACCATAGTTGCGACGAAGAAGGAGAGTTCAATGTTCACTGTTCTTCGTTCGAAGAACATGCTCCACCCGAGGATCGTGTTACTTAAATAATGGACGTTGTTCGTCTGGAGCGGTTGAATGAAGAGGAGAAACATTATGTGTTACATACCATAGAAGAACGCTTACGGAGATATAAACTACCCGGTGTTCGTTTATCATGTATAAAATCTCATGCAAAATTCCGACGGTAGATGATATTCCCGTCAATACGAGGCAGTAACGTTCCCTGCCGGTATATAAGGGTGAATTTACACTGTTTCTCTTTAAAGGAACGAGAGTGTCATGCAGTGAGAGAACTTGAAAACGACGTAATTGCACCTTTTCAATCACCATACGACTCGACTGCGTGGATCATTCCTGAAGAAATGAAAAACAGTCCTTTTGAATATATTTGGTCTACCAAGTAGGATGATTGATTTTCGGATCACGTGTCCAAGCAGAAGAGACACTAAAACTCTGAAGGAAGTGGGTATAGTTGCACCTCCTACCTCTCTGTACAGCGCTGTCTAGAACCACATTGTCAGCAATAAAGATATATGAGCGTAGAGAAAGATTTGATACATCGAATGAAGCAATATTAATCCTGAAAATAAAAAGAATTGATAGAATAACTGCACCTTCGCTATCAGCAATACTTAATACAGGAGACGATGACATATCTGCGGGGATTGCATGGGATGAGTATCCCATAGAATTATAGGATACTGAACGAAAAATAACAGATCGAAACGCATCGACGACAAGATCAATAAAATTTGAATTTAATAATAACTATCTGCCTACAGGGTTTGGCACTGAAATGTTCGTAATGATAATATGCTGTTGCTGTTATAGTAGAAACCAAGGAAGTGCACCGTACACCTCTCGGGACTTTGTTATTACAAGAAAAGGAAGAACGCGAGGAGAGAAGTAAGGAATACGATGGCGAAAGGACGTAGTGTAATAAGAGCGTGTAATAATAATAAGAGCGAGCAGAAGCAGAACCGAGAGGTTCTCGGAACTGTGAAGTTCCCAACGGAGAACAACTACCAATAGAGAATCCCATAATTCCCGCACCAGGTGCAAATTCCGAGCAGATCGGGTGGAGCGAAAAATCACTTAAAAAGCAACAGTCTATAGCGTAGTCCTGTTTATATTACAAACTACTCATCGCGCTGAAAAGAACTCGTGCAGGAAAGCAACATATTCTCTCGTGCACGGTTAAAGGAAAGAACGCAGCAAAGAGAAAGTCGGGACGCATGATCGAATGTTTCCTCTGCGACCAGTACATCTTGGGGAAGCTGTACTAGTTTCCTAACCCCAATCTAGTCTAACCCAACCTCGATCTAACCTTAGCGCCAGAAAAATGCCAGCAGAAGGACGCAGCCACAGGACAATGTATCGTGGAAGATACACCTCTGCAGGGTCCGAATGTCAGCTATTACCTTCTTCCGCAACGGCCAACGTACCCCAAACGACCACGAAACCGCAAGGGATAACGATGCCGAAGCAGAAGATTGAGATCCAGACGCAGCCACAGATAAGATAAAGGGACTAATATGGAGGGGTTCAGCAGACCTAGCACCGCGTCCACAGGAACACAGACGGACAACGAAGAAATCCCTGTAATCGATCTCTACCTGAATACGTTTGGAGTCTCAATCTCATGGACGCGCCAGTGAAGAATCCGACGCCAGATTTAGCGGTATTTCCATCACCAGACCGGGTGCTCAACCACACGATAACCTGACTCTGATCTTGACCGCTGTGCTACTCTGAGTGCATGCTGCGACAAGACGGGAGTAAACAGAAGGACTGCGCTAGGAGGAAAGAAGAAGGCCCATCCCGATTTGGCTCCTGGTCACCGCAACGAAGAATGATACCAGTGATGTGATCCTGTGTCGTGTTGTATATTTCCGTGTTGTGACAGTGTATAATTCAGTGCCGTTCAATTGTTGCCCGTACGGTCAACACATTACACTTCTCGGGACATAAATAAATCGGCGGGAAACGCTCCTCGTACGTGTATCCATGTGTATGTGTGTGCAGTAACAATCGCCCGTCTTAAGAAGGAGGATTATGTTCCGAACAGTTTACAGTAAACATTAAATAACGTGTATTGTTCTACGGTTTACGAGCCTGTACATCAACCACAAGTGCCTTTTTCCCATTCCGCTTTAATGTCTGTGACACCACTAGCCCGCGACTTTGCTTTCAGCTCTGTCTGTGAGCATCGACGCGAGACCTTGTTCGCCTGAAGGTCTACCAGACAGCACTGAGCGTATATGGGTGAATAAATGTTTGCTAGTTTAGGATAGTTCCCTGTGTGTATGGCGCGAAAATTACGTACCGAACTGTCGACGAGGATGGTACCAGGATCTAGCTATAGGAGTTAGGAGAGTGTTACATCCCGTCTCTATATTTTAGCGACTGTCACGTGGCGATAGCCTCCGATCTTGCATGAGATGATCGCAATTAAATTCTGAGTGTGTGTAGCGAATGAATGTTGAGTAGCTGAATGTTGGAGTAGCGATAAGGATAAACCATCATAGTGAGTGTCGGTTCTACTTATCTCTCTCTCCCCTTTTGTTTCGCCTTCGTTGTCACACGAGACGCACGGGCGACGACACGACGTCTGTCTGCGTCTAGATAGTATCCTAGAGTTGCTACTTTTTACAAATAGACAGTGTATTCGAATTTACAGTATCGAAACATCCCTCTTTCTTCTTTGTATTCCTCTACCTACCTTTTTTAGGTAATTTAGAAGTTACGGGACCACCTGTAAAGGACCGATAAAGGTTGGACCCACGACAAAAATGAAGATTAAGACCGGATGTTTGTCGTTCGGGTATTGGGTTGTCGCGTGTCGCACCGTGAATGCTCGCATCCGTATGTTACAATTACATTCTGTCAAAGGTAAGCAAGTGTCCACATACGTTTGAGCGGTAGTATACACACGAGAAGCTATGTATCTTCGTGTGCTTACAGATAATTAAAGCAATCCACAAATGCTTCATTAGATGTTCAAATACATACCGTAGCTAGGAGGCACGTATTTTCCCTGAGTGCGCCAACGCATCCCGTAAATCCAATGATAAATGTCACTGTACCTATAACAGAGGAACGATTATTTGAGTTAAGTCTGAATATTTTATCATCTGCTATATTTTATCAGTTTCGCTGATACTACGTTTACGCTGAGTTTACGTTTTCAATTTATCTGTCGTTACGCTCTATCTTTATTTGTGTACATAAGGCTGATCATTATCTTATCTTTTATTCAAGGAATCTTTCTGTTCTTATCCTCCTAGGATCGTTTTGTTTTCCAATAAATCATACTTAAAATACAATGTCTAAAGTTGGACGTACAGAGCGTTTCACACAATTGAACTCAGCCGTAGCTTCAAGATAATAGAAAGCAGAAAAATTGCCGTTAAAAGGCTAAAGGTAGTTTTAAATGGTACAGAGTTACCAATTTCATTTGCAAGAGAACTTCCCATTTCTCTCGTGTTCACTATGTTGTTTAGCAACTGATAACACTGATAACAATCGCGAGGCGGCAGGAGGGGAGTCCTGAACACACATGTTCGATTCCGATTGCAAATGGACTAGCTGAATGATTATACAGAAATCCATTTAATTTCCAATATGGTACATTTTACACAGAAACTATTAAAACCTCTCCCCTCTTGAATTTTTCCATTTAAATCAATTAAGGATTCGTGAACCGACTATTTATTGAATTGCTATCCAATAAAAATACTTAATTACTTCCTTGTAACAAATAATAAAGGAAGATAATCGGATTTTTTTAGCATAAAATGCCAGTATTTTCCTTAAGAAAAATTTTCCACTAATGAAATATACAGGTTAGTTGGTAACTGGTGGTACAAACGGAAAGGGGTGATTCTACGCGAAAAAAGAAGTCGAAAATATATTTTTTGGATTTAAGCCGCTGGGGAGCGGAGCTTTTATGCGATTTCGTTTTTAATTGTTTTTTCTGTCCTGCAAACTTGGTCGCAAAACAGGACGCTTCGTGTGAATGAAAGTGTAGGTGGAGAAGAATGAACGGAGAGAGCGAGAGTGTGATAGTGTGGCAAGTAAGCGTAGGATATAAGCGAAAGATGTAAAAACCAGAAGACTGTCCTAAGCCAATAGGCGAGGACTGTGTATAATAAATAATCTATGCATGTATTTATGCATATAATAAAGAAGGGTTGTATTTGTACATCGAATAAAAAAGAAAAATAGAACGATCATCCAGAGACAACTCATAAATTATGGAGGCCAAAAAACTAATTATTGGAATTTTTGTCTGTCTGTACTCGCGTCACGTAAAAGCTACTGAACGAACTTTGATGGAGTTTTCTTTACCCGGGAAGGAAAATAGGATACGTCTCATTTTGATCCATTTTCTAGAAGCTGAGAAATAACCTGGCATCTAAATTATATGCGCTCGCATGTTTGGTACAGGTGAAGGAGGAACGATAGTTATTGTTAACACTGTACTTGTTCTGAAATCTTTTTATGATTTAATACTTTTTATTACGAAGAATAATTCCACCGTTAATATAAAAAATATGTGAGTATTTCATTTATAAAAATTCATTCGCTTAAAGATTGATTCCTTATATTTGAGAATCCACGCGAACGAAGTTTGCGGGCGAAACCTAGCGAATAATAAGTCGTAAACTAAATCATAAGCAAATAACGTGCTACTATCGATCGTAGAAAATAAAGATATAAAAGATATAAAATAGCAAACAGTCTAAAGTCAATTTCTTCTTAACACTTTATCGACGTACAGGTCTATCGTGGAAAAACATCTTGTTCATTGATCAATCCCAGATATTTTTGTTTACTGCTTGTGCTACATTTAATGTCTAACCAGGGACAATGCTGGCACTCCTTAACTTGCTAGAAATTCATCGACTGTCCGGAATGCTACGAATTTACCAAGCCATTCAATAATTATCAACTGCTTCTCGTCTGTAATACTAATTGCTACGTTCTAACTTTACTCGTAGTATTAAGGAGCTCGGTAAGTACGTGGGCCACAACCGTCGGATGTGGATGTTGAGATACCGTTAATTGCTGGAAATTCCGTATTGTAAACTGCCTCTAGACTAGCAGCTTCACTCTGCAAGTGGAATTATGCAACAAATTCATGTTCCTAGAGAGAATCCTTCATATGTAATTCTACGTAACTAGGAAACTTAAATAAAATTTGTAATAAAAAATGTACAATTAAATAGAAACTTTAATTACTACACGTGTAATCGATCTATTTTCTACTTCGTAGTTAAACTGTAAAATATGTCTTGTCTGGTTATTTTTTAAATATTTAAGGTATTGCGTTTAAATCGATCCCTGCCAATATTTCTTGAACTATTTATGATACCAGAAAATATTTCGAAGAAAGAAACTTAAATGGCTTTGCAGAAGACATAATTTGATGTCAGTAGTTTTTAGCTAAGGATGCTTTTAGGATGTCAATAAGCTTTAGTAATAAACAGATAGAAAGATAAAAAGAAAATAGAAACGTAGATAGAGCACATAGGAAGGTGAATTTTCTCCTTTTTTAAATAGAATTTGTAATATATTTTACGATATATTACTCGATCCATATTGGCATTCTCTATGGAACTGGATAAACTATTTATATCGAAAATCCATTAATTGATCAAATATTTTAACTTGCCTTTTGAAAACCTATCGTATGAAAGACAAAGGAAGACGTAATGCTCTATTTTTGTATCTGTTTTTCCGACGACAAAGTTAAATACCGTTGTTCATGAAAGACTGAAATCTTAACTTAAGACTTAAATCTTCTTTCAAGATTTCTGTTACAATTAAACTTTAATGTGATAACATAAAACCTATTCTTACTGATTTTCTATTTCATTCATGGAGATATACAGGGTGGTTGGTAACTGGTGGTACAAACGGAAAGGGGTGATTCTACGCGAAAAAAGAAGTCGGAAATGTAGAATAACAATTTTTCGTTCGAGGCTTTGTTTTCGAGAAAATCGACTTTGAATTTTGGCTCGGTACGCGTGCACTTTATCGCGTCTCGTTATGACGGATCTCACTGTAGATCGTTGTCTCCGTGGAAAAATTAAAAAAAAATTTTTATTCTATATTTTCGACTTCTTTTATAGAAATTAAAAGGCATTCATGAAAAATTACTAGTCATAAAGATAGTCTCGCTGAATATCGTGACTTGTACAAAATGAACAACTGTCTGTTCAAATATACTTTGCTGACTTTTGCAAAGTGTATGCTTCCAATAAATATCTTGTAACTTCATGTACATTTTTAGATCCGTTTCAAATTTTATTAATACAGTCACGATAGCCATGTCTCGTTACGGTGCTAATGAAATATGAAAATGTTTTTTATAATAAATATATGAAAAGTTTGTAGGAGACTTCGAAACTTCCGTGAGCCACCATATGACTATTTATCGAATAATTATTCAATAATTGTTATCAAACATTGTAATTGCTAGCATATACTATTCCAATTACCAAAAATTTCTACTAGTGTGGCTAGTAAGTATTTCAATCTAGGTTCCTCTTTCGTCGGTGGAAGAGGAGAGGAGGTGGGCACACATAGCAACGTGGCAAAATTTCCCTCAGGTCTGACTGTTCGACCAGCAAATCGAATTTTGTAACATGTGTTCTTGAAAATGGGAAACATGAGTTTGTGAAAACTTTAATTAAATTGTCCTCGTTTCTTTTGCTGGAACAAACAGCAGGTGGAAATTTTATGCAAGCATATTATTGTGAAAAACAAGTGAAATGAGTTACGCTATGATGCCTAAAAAATAATCGAAAAGTACAACAAGATATGAATTAAGGACTGTTATATTAGTCAATGAGTTATCTTCAAAAATCAGGGAGGAAAATTTATCTCTAGCAACTTAAGTTAGATTTGTAAAGAATAAATACGAAGACAACTCAAATAGCAATCTGCTAAAATCGTCGATAAGAGGAAACGATGGAAGGATATTTCATAGGCGCAAAGATATTTGAAAGTTAAAATTATTACTTGCTATAGTTTAGCTTTGTTGCCTTTAAATGCAACCGAGCACTTTTATACAGTATTGCACAACATATTGTACATATATTTTGTATAATATACATATCCAATATACAGCTAAAACATCACGCTTGACGTAGAAAGATCTTTGTCTTCTGTTTTATTGTGAATTATTGTTAAGTCTGTCCTTTCAATATGTTACAAATTACGAAGGCAAAGCAAGAACCACATTGGAGAAACTGCTACTCTTGACGCTATAGTGAAAAGATATTCATTCTAGTTTTATCTCAAAAATGCAGTAACCTAATGCTATTGGAGAGGAACCACATAAATCCAAGTGTTATAAATAATTCTGTGGACCGAACGAGAGACAATAGAGAAGCCTGATTCAATCAGACTGTAAAAAGTGTCTTTAGCTTGCTACGTAAAGAAGAAAGTTTGCCTGAAACAAATTACCTGCTTTCTTCAGAGCCTTGCAAATCACAGGCAGCAACGCCTCGAAAAGGGTGCGACACTCTATCAAACTTTAATATTTTTTGTAAACGATCGACTCCACCCACGCAACTTAGTCATCTATCAGAATCAATAGCAGTCAACAGCCTCGAACAATGCAAACTAAAGTAATAAGTTTGAAGCCGAATACCGACTTTTCCACAATGAAGAATATTAATAGTCGTGCAATGTACAATGCTCCATTATTTCACATAAAAATGCACCTCAACGTTATAAATTTGCGGTTGGCTGCGGTTGACAGCCACAATGACAGGCATTTCTTTTTGTACAATATTAAATTTCCTTTGAAGACATTGCATAAAAAAGATTTGTTGCAATTGAATTTTAATGTGATGAAATAAAACCTATTCTTACTGATTTGCTATTTCATTCATGGAGATATATGTATGTGTAATTTATACAATCGGGGACAGAGGTATAATAAGCGAAGCAGTAAAATGTATGTCGTAAATGGTACGACGTTTTCATTCAATGCGGCTTGTTTACACAAAAATATTAATTTCAATTATTCATTAAGTGTTATATGTATACATAAGGATATAAACATTACAAG